GGTTCCGTATTTTGCATTCCAATTTGCGCCCCCCCCCCATTAAGACAATCATTCCACCTGGCATTGTTGCTAGACGGGGCGGAGAATAAGTTCCGTATTATGAGCAGCAATTCTGCTAGTCGAAAGTGATCGAAGGGGGCGAAGCGAGCCCGCCGACGAGCTGTCCATGATGGCGGCGGCGAGGCGTAATTTGGCAGGAGAGAGACAGTTGCGCTTTATTTTGAAAATATAATTGCAGCATTTTCAGCAAAAAACCTCCTCCTCCAGTCACCATAACAACCACAGAACACCGGGGAATCACAAGCAATTCCTACTGGACATCATGAAGAAACGTCCTTGCATGAGTCGCAAAATGTAGACCGAATTTGACTTCCTTAAATCGGCGCTAGCCTCGTGCGCTGATGACCTCATTGTTGCCTCCCGTCGCTTAGTTACACTGCCGGCTTTTCCAACGATAACACAAAGTATAGAAGTGAGTACATAAGGTGCAAACATTCCCCCTATTGGACCAACTGACAGGCCCACATCAGTCATCGCCAGCTAGCGGAGGAAACGGTATGGCCCACTTACGCACAGTTCAACGGCAACACAGAGTGCGAGGAAAGTAGACATTGCATGACGGACAGTAGAGAATGTCCGAAAGTAGAACCAGTAGGGGGAAAAATTCCCACCTTGCGAAAACCCTTAGTCATTGACACTATTGTAACTGTGAACACTTGGGCTAGCAGCTTAATCCATCGGCAACATTTTGGTTCGATTTGGATTGGGCTCCAATTAATCGCCAATCTAATAAACACAATCAGTAAGCAGTCGTCAGGTGTGCGTTTCACCACTCCCCTGATTGCTGTCGTCCTCAAACTCGAATTTGTAAATGTTCATCTCTTTATGACTGAACGTTCGTTTGTTATGGACGTTAGAGCTTTACGTATAGTTCATCATCATTGTACGTTCCCATGTATGATCTCTTGTTGCCCCGCTTCCATCCTTATAACACTAGACAAAGACAAGGGAAACTGGAATGGCCATTTCTGGCTTATTAGCCCTCATCAGCCAGTCATACCCAGCCCAGGTTCGAACCCGCGACCTTTTGCTCAGAAGTCAAGCACTCTAACCAGAAATGGTAATTCCAGTCTCCCCTGTCTTTGTCGGCAATGCTATCGGCCAAGGTAATGTTCGATCAGAAAATTTGAGCCATGTGCAGACTCAAAGAGGCTGCCTAATCTAGCCCATGAGTTTGTTGCTTAGTCATTGCGCCCATTTGGGCTATAAGGTGTTGTTATCGCATGCAGCGGCCCATCCGCTTTCAGAGCGGTCTCATCTACCGCACACCAAGGGCCATCAACTTCTAGTCAGTGCGTGCCATGACAACCGAAACACCACTTACTTGCTCGTTGTTAAATGACAACGCCAAGCGCTTTGCACGAATACCCTCTCTTTGCCTTGATTCTTGCCTCGATCGATCGGGACTAACCGAAATCGATGCGGTCTTATTCCTCCCTGTATGTCTATGTAACCTCTGGTTACTGCTGCTCTTGGTTCCAGGCTTCCTCTACTTCTGGGGCGTCGTCTTCGTACTGTCCACTACGGCAGTGGCCTTTCTCAAGTCCGAGGTGGTGGTGGACACCTCGCCACGTCCACGACGCTCCTCCCCAGATGATGCTGAGGCCGATAAGCAATCATCGTACGACTATTCTCCGGACGGGGAACTGAGGGTGCCTCTGGTAACGACCAGCGGGGATGGTGAAAGCTGCCCGGCGGCGTTGGAAGTGGAGGTAAACGGCCTCGCCAACGGCGCAGTCGTCTCCCCTCTGGCACAACGGCGTGCAAGTGTGGACCTCTCAGCCGAAAGCTCCGACAACAGCAACAACCACGCGAGCATGCTCAACGAGTCCCGACTGAGTTTGCCAGCTGATGCAGCGGAGAAAAAGAGGAGAGGGAGAGGAACGAGTGACGCGGAGGGAGGCAAGAAGAAGGAGGACCAGGGTGAACGTCACTTGTCTCTAAGCCAGACCTACAGCGTAATGCTGGGTGTGTTGCGACTTCGTCCCATCCTCAAGTACATTCTATTCGTCTTCCTTGTAAAGGTGAGTCCATGCAATGGTTTGTGTGTGTATGTGTGTGTGTCTGTCTGTCTGTCTGTCAATTCCCCTTGTTGAACTTGGTAGACAGCTGGGTCATGCCTGTCACGGAGTGTACTCCCCCGGGGTATGGTAATCTGTGTGACAACCAATCCGGAGAGCTTGTAGTGTCAAAGTAATGTTCACCAATTTGTAGCTTCTAAGTAGTGTTTCTACTCTGAGCACTACAGTAGTCGCCAAAGATCA